TTGGCTAAACTTTTGACTCACAATTATAACAATATGTTTGTACCAGTATTATTATTTTTTTTTATTTTATAAAATTATTTACTAGTGTGACACTATTAAAATTGTATCTATAGTGCCAGCTATAGAAGCATCATCATTTAGAGTATATTAAGAGAAATTTTTTTAATGTTCTTTGGACCAAGGACTTTGTCTCACTCTGTGACAGCTGTCAGAATGTTACATGCTTTTCTATCAGAATTTAAATAACAACTAATACTAATATGTATGTTATTTTACATGTATGTTTTTATTGTACATGGCTAGCAATGCTACCAGTACTTGTAGGGATAATTAGAAATACTTTAATTTAAATCTGTGCATGTAGTTAATGTATATTGGTGTCCTTTTTCTTTCTGTTTATTTATTGTGAGATCCGTCATACACAGGTCTATGTGACTTCATCTCTACTAGCAAATAAAAGACAGCCATAGCACACATTCAGCGTTGTCTATACTGCATGTGAGTGTGCTCCCTGGCTACGTTTTGACTTGTGCCAAATTGTCTGTGCTGGGTGTTGGTGTACTCTCTCTCCGTTTTGGCCAATGTCAGTTATAACTCTGTTAAACAATGCCTCAGACCAAATCAGGAGATGGCATGTGTCATGTAGTGTCCCAGTTTGGATGGTAGTCATAGTGTTTTCAAGGAAAGAAAATTTAGTAATGTGGATGGGAGTTTTACTGTGTTGCTTTGCTGGAGAAAATCCTCCAGCCTGCTTTATTTTAGCATAGGCATGGCTCGTGAGACTGGAATTGTAAGACAAATAGTCTGTTCTTTGGTTTGAAGGAGAAGTGAAAAATACCTTCCAGAATTTTGAGTTACAAGATGGGGAAGAACGAAAGCAAAGAAAGGTCCTGAGAAGAGAACGGGACCACAACAGGATAAGTTAGAGGGGACAGTGTGAAAAGATCAAATAAAAGAGAACAATTACTGTTTAGCACATTTTCCTACAAAACCTGAAATTGAATTCAGTAGTGTCTTGCAGGTATCTAATGTTGAATCTTCTCTAAGTTACCCACAATTTTTTTCTTTTTTTTGGCTCAGGTAGTGAGCATCTGTATTATGGGTTTAAGGGTCCAAATGAAGGACCAAATGGAAACTAGCCTGTAGTGAACCATGTGAATTTGTGTTTTTTCCCCCAAAATTGTTTTTAATTTCCTCCTTTAAAATAAAGTTGCAAAGTCAAATATTAGTTAGAAATACACAGGCTATTGTTTCTTGAATCTTAGCTTTGTGTTGTCTTTTGTGTTGGAAGATATGCAGGGAATGAGTTGAGGGGTTACAGGAAGAAAAGGATAGTCTCAATATCTAGTGGTGAATGATTCTGGCCATGAAATAGAGGTGCAGTGTAGTCCTAGATGTGTCATGTACATAAACTTACACCAAATTAACACTGCTGATCAGGAATTAGGTGCAGCTTATCTTCTAATGTGAAATTATGATGTGTTAAAATGCTGAACGTTCAAAGCTAAGGCTGAAGCTGGTCAACAAGATACTTTGAACAGATAAATTTCATACAAATACTTAGAAAAAGCATTTAGGCATTAATTGTCCCTCAATCTTTGTGTGCCTTCATTCTTGCTCTGTAGAATGAGGATACTTTTGGCAGGTTGTGAAACTAATTTCATTTATGTGGATGTACCTAAACATTGTACTGCTTACTAGCATAAAGAAAAAGCCCATGAGTATTTTAGTAATACCACATTTAGAACTAAATTAAATTTGTGTTCATGAAATAACATGACAGATCATGCTTTAAATAAAGATAAAAAATAAATATCTGTACACTGTAAGGTCTCAAGGCCATATTACTGTTAAAGAAAGTTTTTAAAAAAATCCAGTTATGGTGTGTCATTCTACAAAAGTTTAAAATCTTGTGTCTATAGGCTGAATGTGTCTGTTTTCCACTTCAAGTCATTGAAATTTTCACTGTATCTGTCCGTAAGATTTGGTCTTCTTCGGCCAAGGAAGATACTTTAAAACTGCTTAATCATCCCTGAAAAGTGCTTAAAAAAAGCTAAATATATTTAACTCCTGGCATCTGTTTCACTACTACACAAATCTCTCAAGCTATTTGGCGTTCCTGTGGCTCTTGCCTGCTACCTCTCCAATTTATTTGCATCATTTTCAAAATGAGCATATCAGAACTAGCTCTATTATTTAAAGTGTGTGGATCACTGCCAGATACAGAAATAATTTATAGTCTCTCTGCTCCTTCTTAATAGTCTCCTGATGATGTAGGATTACACTAGTGATTTTGGCCATGAAACATAGTTTTTTCTCATACTCAGCATGACTCATATGTTTGGTTTTTTTGCAAGACCACCTTTTGCCAGATAGAGTGCTTTTCTCTATTTGTTTGAGCTGTTTTCCTTGTTACAAGGATGACCTTAAATGACCTTGACTTTGAATTGCTGTATGCTTAGAACCTATCCTGTTCATCATTACCTTATCAGAAGTGTTGGCCCTTACAAACATTACTGCAATTAATTTAGATGATTTTTTTTTAGATCACTGATTTTATTTTTTTTCTTTTTTTTAAATAACCCAGGTACTGTCACTATCCCACAAGAAGCATATCCACTAAACAGTAGCTTTATATCAATTACATTTTGATTTGGAAGCTTTTAGCTAGCCAATTTACATGTGCTTAAAATACACAGTATTATTTTGAATAGTTTTATGTTTTTAACCAAGTTTTTGTGGGGTGTCAGATCACTGCCTTATAAGGGTTATTACAACACTGGTACTCTGTCATTGATATTGGAAATTTCATAGCAAGTATTCATGTCATTTGAAAAGGTATTTTCCATAACACTTTTTCCCTTTAAAATTATTCCTCTTTAAATCCTTATGAACTGGTTTTACTGTTATTCCATAATGGAATGGATAGTTCATTGCCAGATTTACGATCATCTGACCTTAAAGCTTTGTAATATAATGAAGATCCATGGCTCCACTTATATGTTTTCAATATTGACCCAGTATTAGCTTTCTTCTAATCTTCTGGAATTGTACACCGTTCAATTTTTTTAAAATTCAAAATCAGTAACTGTTCTCATTTAACCTGGCAGGCAGCTAAACACCACACAGACGTTTGCTCACTCCCCGCCTCCCCCACAGTGGGATGGGGGAGAAAATTGAGGAGGAAAAAAAAAAAAA